AACAATCATCTTTTACTCTAGATTAGGGGAACATGATAACGAACCAACAGTTAGTGGGCCCCATTCGGAGCCACAAGGGGGAGCCCTTATCTGAACTGTGATCATAAGAAAGTTAATACTGGCATTTAATGTGTCAAACAGAATCGTAGCTCCACATTCGAATGAACACGGACAAAAGCATTGCCGCCTATCCGTGCACCTGAAGCATTCGACGTCCGCATAACCTCCATACAATAGGGAGCCGCAAGACGCTAATTACGACCGACACATGGTGTCTCCGGAAACATATAAAAGGCAATCATCGAACAACATGTGTTCAACAACCATCAAATATCTAAAATGGAGATGTTGTGATATGCAATGTTTGTTTTTGTCTTAATTCCCAAAATAAACACTTTTTATGCAATGAATTTACTATCTTTTATTAATTTAAACAAACAAAGTAAATTTCTTACTAAGTAATTCAGTTATGTTCTAATTTCTAAAAATTTCTACATTATTTTACCAAATTGATTTCATAATTTAGTAAAAGCTAAAAAATAATTACATACCATAAAATATATAATTTCTATCATTTCTATAGCCTAATTTCATCATTTCTATAGCCTGTCCCTACCACTCCAATTGTTTCTCTTTTAAGATTTAACTTCTCATACACTATCTCCTGTATCAAACTTGTTATGCTACTTTTATGAATGTTTAATATAACATGCATAAACAACCAAAAAAAAATAAGAATCCCAGAAGTGTATATGAAATAGGATATTGTATAAAGTTCTATGAAGCAAATACGACATTTATAAAGATTCATGTAAATGTAGTCAAAGTCTAATAAATCTAACTTGACAAGTAATATACTAAACATATGGACCCTTTCCTTATTGTGTATGTAAGTGAAACAGAAGTTCTGAATAGTAAAACATCAGCTCATATTTATTCTATCTAAAAAGGGAAATGTACTTTACTCATTTCTTGATTCTCCGGATCCTTTTAGCCCCCCGCACCTCCAATCTCCCCGCCGGACAACCACATGGTGCTCGGAAAATGAGAACAGTCCGGCCATTCACCGGCGCCATCTTCTTCAACTCCGCTTCCAGCTCCTTATGATCTTGCCCTAATTCCAATGGCTTCACATCGTTATCTGATGATGTTCCTCCTGTCGACAGATACTTAACACACTCTTCAGATTCAAGCTGGATATCAAATTCAACAGCTTTACGAAGCCCTTTACAATTAGGTTTTCCACATTTTCTTGATTTTACTTCGAGTATTTCCCAAGCGGCGATTGTCGCTATTACACCACTGAACGCTGCTACTACTCCGACGACATATGCGATTGGGGCATCGGAAATGACTTCTTGGATGACGTCGAAAACTAAAGGGAGAATCTCGATGGTTTCACGATATATAATATTGACGTATGGAATGATTAGAAACCCAAGTGCTCCGAGAACAAGAATCAGCATAAGGATATCCAGGGCGGCGAATGGGGATCTGTCGCAAAACGGATGTGATAAAGGGTTAACGGAATCGGAACCGATGTTGTACTTCTTATTGTTCCGAGAGTGATTGCTGTTATTGGTTGTCGGCGTCATGTTCTTGTGTTGTTCGAAAGCTCGGCAAAATTCAATCAAGCTACGGCAATCAACCATCGGCAATCTCATATTCCTTCCACGATCTCGTCTCGAATCCCTGTTTGATTGAACCTTGTCGTTCTGATCTATCTCGATCTATAAATCTCAAATCCTTACCACCGACTGATAAACGGATTCAATCGGAAACTAGATTATTGAATCACCTGGATTGGGCAAATTGACATAGAAATCAACAATAATATGATCTCAAAATTCTCGGAAGTCGTCAGGAATTAAGAACGAAACAAATCAATTTCGATGCGATCAAACGAGGGATTAGAGAAACGCCTGCAACCATTAAACAATCCACGCCAATCAGATCAGATTTCAATGAAATTAAATCTGATCAACCAATGAAATTGAACGATGATCAAATGATTGATGAAATTGGGAAAAACAGGAAGAGATCGACCTAAAAATTCGTGCGAGATGAGCCGATTGAAATGGAAGAAGTCAGCGGAGTTGCAGGTAAAAAACTTGAGGATGCGTGAATTACGAGGATAGATCGGGAAGAAAAGCTGCAGAAACGGATATTTCTCCCGCCCCTGTAGTATACCAAAATGGCTAAATTTGCCCTTTTACTATCAATATACTCCATTGGTAATTATCATATTTAATGCATAATTGTTCTTGCAAAAAAAAATTCATAACATTTACTATGAGTTTTTTATTTGTTTATTATTTTTTTTATGTCTTACTATTGTTATATTAACAATTTAATGTCATTAAAGTAGATAACTCATCGTCATTATTACTATTCATTGATCACTGGATATATTATTAGAGTAACACACGCAATACCCTTTAGATGATGTCACGGAAAGTCAACGAGTATAGAGAAATGTGGTGGTAGAGTGAAGAGGTGCAAGCTAATGTTGGGGCCAAACATGTTCTCTTTAAGGAGTTTTTAGAGTGTAATGAGGATGAGGAAAGAGGCAACACGAAAGAAGGTACAGGGTGACAAATTGTGAGGCAAAGAAAGATGTTACTATAGTTAAGGCCGTGACATACGAGGAGATTTAGATTAGATTGTTTACAAAGGAAGGGGATAGAAACAAGGAAAATGGACTTAGGAATCATTATGTATATTAAAGACGATAATGGTCAACATTTAGTGTAGAATAAGGACACTAAGTGGAAATGGGTAGTTATCTTTATTCTTTATTTAATAAGAGTTCTTTCATTGGTATGGATAAGAATGTAGGAGATGTGTTTTGAAGTTCTAATAAGGAATCTCTAAACTAATGAACAAGGTCTAACCTAAGGATTAGCATGAATGATGTGAATAAGGCTTTATGGAAGATATGAAGGAATAAAGCATGGAAGATATGAAGGAATAAAGCACTTGGTCTAGATTAAATTAATGTTAGTGTATAGATATGTTTTGAATTTTAAGGATATAATAGTTAAATGGATGACTAACCTATTTAACAATATCTTAGAGATCGCCAAAAGGCCTGACAAGTGGAGATTTAGTACTGTCATTCCAAATTATAAAAAACAAATGTGAAGCCTAAAGTTGCGAGAACAATAACGGTATTAAGTTACTTTTAGGAGTGAGTATTGGAGACTAGGTTTCAACGAATCACGAATGATTTAGAAACCAATTTGGTTTCATTTAAGGGATGTTGACAAACAAGGTGATCCGTCTCTTAAGACACTTTTGGAGAAATATATAAAGAGATCTAGGAGGTGTCCTTGAGAGTTATATCTTGGATATTCAAGATACATATTGTCGGTTTATGACATGTGTTCGGACCCTGTTCATGACTTGAAATTATTTTTGATTAAAATTGTATGCATCATGGTTTCCCCCTCAATTCTTATGCATTCACCCTTGATATTTAACGAGGTGTCTTATGAGATATAGGAAGTAGATATATGTCTTTGTTTAATGACATTGTGGTGGTGGCAAAGTCTACGACATAGCTAAATGCACGGTTAGATACTAGGAGACCGATGTTTGAAGTTAAGGGGCTTATAATCAACTCTATTAAAACATATACCTTTGGTGTATTATTAGGGGAGTAAGGATGAAGCAGTACATGTAACTACAATGGATCAAGATTTTCTCCCTATTAAGAGATTAAAGTACTTAGTGTTGATGAAGAAGGTATGGAAGTAGATGTCACCCATCGTATTAAGGAAGGTTGGTTAAAATAGAAGGCAACCTCGGGAGTCTTAGCCAAGAAAGAAGGATCGTGATGGAAGTAGTAGAAATAGAAATGTTGAGGTTGAAGTGTGGTCGAACTTTATTAGATAGGATTGAATGAGGTTGTCATAAATGTGTTGTCAAATGTGTGTACAAACCTAAAAGTAAGGGGATTTTTGGTTAAGATGGTATGGACATGTCTACAAGATTTGGATCTTTCTTAGGAGATGACCTCATATAGGAGGGTATTGAGGTTTAACATCAGGGTTGTTGAGTATCATAGGTACCTTATACGACTTATATGTATGTATTGTTTGTAGCTTTCTTTTGTTACATGCTTTCATATTTGTATATACGTTTTCTAGATTTTTATTGTAGATACCTTAATTTAGCTAAGATGCTTGTATTCACATGTATTCATTATATTTCACTAATCATATTGACTTACTTCCCCATGTTTTCTTCTTTTTCATGTCCTCAAATTCAATTACTTGTATTGTGATTTACTTATTTTATGGATTCTATCTACATAGACTTAACGTCTCCCTGTTTGACTTATTTACATGTTCATGTTTTACACTTGTCATAGGTCTTACATGTGAAGCAGTTGATCTACCTCTAGTGGATAAATAACTTATGATATCTACCTCCTCTACTATATTCCAATGGGATTCCTGGGATTTCGTTACGTTGTTGTATTAATAACATTTTCATTTTATCCTTCTTAATTATACTTTATATCTATATATTTATTTATCGACTAACGTATCTAATATACTAAACATACAAAAAATCAATACTTGTATAAAATAACTATATACTTGATAGAAAAACAATACAAATATAAAAGATTATTTGTGCTAAAAAACGAAAATTTATAGAGTACTTTATAAAACATTGCAAATAGGTCGGAATAAATGGTTAAATATCAGAGAAAAAGTTAAATAAAAACTTATATATTAGAGAAGAATTTAAAGATAGTTTTTTATTAATTCGACAAAACAAATAAGCATTAAAGAGGTTAACCACTATAAATGCCCAAAAAAATTATAATATGCAAAATGCAAATAACATTTGTTTTAAATAAATTATGCATGTTTAAAAGCATCTCCATTCAACCACTATATCATTTTCACTCTAATTTTTATTTCATTCAACTTATTTTGGAGTAAATGAATATTATTATTCTAAATATGAAGTAGTACTGTTTATTTGTACTAAAAAAAATAAACTTGGATTGTCAAGTTTAGTCTTTCTCATTTTAGATTTATATATTTCTAGTCTAATTTAATTTAGCAAATTTAAACTAAATGTAATAGCTAATATTTGTAATGAGAATATGACTTATGAAGGTAATTAACTTTTCGGTATATTCACATCTAGGTAACTATCTTTTTTTTTTGTATACATTTGGGTAACAAACTTGTTGGAAGTGTTCACATATAACCATTATGACCTGCTATAGCAGGTTAAATCCTAGATGTAAACGCTTTCAACAAGTTCGTTACCTAGATGTGTCAAAAAAAATAGTTACCCAAATATATACAAAACGAAAAGTAAAAATTAAATTACACGAATGGTCCCTGTAGTTTGAGGGAATTTGTATTTTTGGTCCCTAACTTATTTTTTTAACTTGGATGGTCCCTACTATTTATTTTTGTTGCGCGTTTGGTCACTGTCTTACCTAAAAAGACTATTGTGCCCTTATTAATTTATTTTTTAATTAATTGTCTTATTTATGTATTTATTTTTTACATATTTAAAAAAAATTAATAGACCACACATATTTGTATCTCCTCAGATGATCCCTACTATTTATTTTTTAATTTATTTATTTTTTTAACTCGGATGGTCCCTACTGTTTAATTTTGTTACGAGCTTGGTCTATGTCTTACCTAAAAAGACTATTGTGCCCTTATTAATTTATTTTTTTAAATAATTTTCTTGTTTATGTACTTATACTTTATGTATTTAAGAAAAAATAGTAGACCCCGCATATATGTATCTTCTCACCATCCCGTCTCTCATCCTTCTCAGCTTCTATTTATTTTCCATTTTTAGTGATATCGACGTCTTCATCGTCACTTCTTTTTTCGGTTCTTTAACTCTGTCGAATCAATACCACAACCCACTAATGATAAAGAGACTGTAGGTTATGGTGTTGGTTCGCTAGAGTTGAAGTACCAAAAAAAAAGAATAATGGTGAAGACGTCGATGTTACTAAAGATGGAAAAGAAATAGAAGTTGGGGAGGATAAGAGATGAGAAGGTGACCGGTAAGACTCAAATTAAAATTTTCAAATGTGGTTTCAGGATTACGGTGAGAAGATACAGATATGTGGGGTATATTAATTTTTTAAAATATATAAAAAATAAATATATAAATAAGAAAATTAATTAAAAACAATTAATAAGGGCAAAATAGTCTTTTTAGGTAAGACATGAACCAAACGCGTAACAAAAATAAACAGTAGAGCCCTTCCGAGTTAAAAAAAATAAATTAATTAAAAAATAAACAGTATGGTGGTCTATTAATTTTTTTAAATATACAAAAAATAAATAGATAAATAAAAAAATTAATTAAAAAATAAATTAATAAGGCACAATAGTCTCATTAGGTAAGATAGGAACCAAACGCGCAACAAAAATAAACAATAAGGACCATCCAAGTTTTAAAAAAAATAAGTTAGGGACCAAAAACACAAATTACTCTAAACCATAGGGACCATTCGTGTAATTTATTTTTTACTTTTCGTTTTGTTCATATTTAGGTAACTATTTTTTTTGTACACATCTAGGTAACGTACTTG